CCCAATGTTATCAAAGGACTTTCAGGTCTTTCCTAACTGCTTAAGGCAAAGATTTGCCGGCGAGCAACAGCGATCAAAGGGAAACCAATTAAAAATCGAATCATGAGAGAGCTGGCAGCGTGAAGCGAACTTTAATAAGTAACACACGCGATAGAATTTAAAGGAAGAAGCTTAATTCGCACAAAGGCTCAAAAAAACTCAACCGAAATGTACCTTGAAAATGTTTGTACTTCCTGCTTTTTGCTATGTCGTATATTTCTTTTATTGACCCTTAAAATGCAAATAAGTTTAGACGCACACACACACACACACACACAGCACATACACACATGTGACATGTCGTACAGGTTGTGGGGTGTTTTTATTGCCTACTTTTGCGGGCTCCTGACAGACCGAACCAAACTGCCGGAGCTTAGATCTCCACCCTTGCTGTTGTGCTTCATTTTTTGTGTGTGTGTGTGGTTTTTATTTTAACAACTATTTGCCAGCTGTAAATGCGAGAGAGCTGGAGGCTAAACAAACAGGCAGGAAGCCAGAAACACCTTAAAAAAGCCAACAAAAATGCTGACTTTGCAACACGAATCCGTTGATGCCCTGGAAAATGCGCAGATTCTATGTGAGCTGCAGGTTTATTTACCCAAATGCTGAAAAGGGTATCGAGAGCATCAAAATAACGAGTCAAAGCGGCTACTTAGCGGCTCGCCTTGGGATGCTTGGGCTCCTGTCGCCGCTGAGCTTAATGCGGCTAATGATGCCCTGACCGAGCCGCGCTCTCTCTCTCTCTGTCCTCTGTTTGGCTGCCCTCTCCGCTTTTATTGCCGTACGCCTATTGTTGGGACGTGAACGCACCGGCATAATAATACAAGAAGGCGATTTTGCCTCGAGGTACTTACGATTTTATGATGCAGCGCCGAGAGTTCGCGTTCGGTGACCCGACGGCTGGCCGCCTCGCGGCGTCGCTGCCGGAACTGGCTGTACTTGTAGGCGAGCATCACACCGGGGAGGGCCAGCGCCTCCAGCGGGGACTTGCGACCGAAGGGCATTCCTGCACACACACACACACACTCGCTCGCTCTCACTTGGTTTTCTTTGGGTTTTCTTTTCTTTTGGGGGCTTTGTGGCTAGTTGAAATATTGCTTGCTGGTTTTTATTTTTTGTATTCTATTTTTTATTTTGGAACACTTGGCACTTTTTCTTACTCCTAATTCTCTTCTCTCTCTGTCGCTTGGACTTCGACTTTTAGCGGCGTCTCATTATGCAATCACGAATTGGACACTGGCACAACACTGACAACATTTGGCTGAAGGTGGGGGCTGTGGCCCGCAGCTGGCTTGGCCCATGCCTAGAGTCCACTTTGGTTCTCTCTCGCTTTCGCTTTCTCTTTCATTTCACTTTTCTTTCTCCTTCGCATGCTGTTACTAATGTTGTCGCTGCTGCTGCTGCTGCTGCTGCTGATGAGCTGCAATCAATTTTGCATTCTGCAATTTGAGAAACTGCTGCATGAGTGGGTGTGGAAGAGTTATGAAGGGGAGGGACTTTGAAGTGCATACAAATATGCAAAACTATTGAAAAGGCAGCCAAAAACTGAAGTTGATATCAACAAGTCTGGAAAGCCTCTTTAAGCATGTTAGAAAATCATTTTTATATAATTTTACACCCTTTGGATGTGCTGCAAAAAGTTGCAATCTCTAAAAGGCTAATATTATGTTCAGCTTCATCCCCAGGGAATGGTTTTATATTTTCACAATCATTTTGTTGATGCATTTTCTGCTTGGCTTTGACTGATTTACACATTTCGTGGCAGCACCCGAGGGACATTTTTAATGAAGGAAAGTGTCGGCGTTCGTTGGGAATCCATGCTGCCAGCATCCCGAATTACAGAGCAGGCAGTCGCGTCGATCATTAATTTCAATTAGATTGCAAACAGAGACGCAAAAGCAGCAGAAATTACAGAGCTTGTCGCGCACTTGTCTGGGGGGAGGGGGCTTGGGGGCCAAATAATTTTAGTTCCTTTGACTTTATATGTCTACGGGTTATTTTTGTGTCACACTTTTGTCCGACCCTCCCGCTGCCGACCCACCGAGCCACCGTCTGCTGTGGAGGATGAAGCCGTGGGGCCGTTTCCGTAACCGAATTTATTAGAGTTTCTGGCGTAACCCACGTGCACGGTGGCCGAACGCTGAACGGTGAATGTCGCAGAGCAGCTTCGTCTCGTTTCGTCTCGTTTCGGTCGTTTCCCACGCAACCGTCGTGGAAGCTGCGTGAGCTTGACGCAATTTCCAGGGCAGCCCGGGGGGGGGGAGAGGACAGCGGTTGTCCCTTCCAATGCTCGGACACGTTTTGTTTACACGAATTGTTTTCGCATGTTTCGGCTTGTTTTTAATCTCCCCCCACCAAATGGCACCGTTGAGTGTGGGGTCAGTGGGTTGAAATGGAAATGGCTGACAAATTGCTGGTTTAATTGATCAAAATCAACCTCGAATTAGTTTCGCAATGGAAACGGAAACGCGTTTTGCCGCGTTACGTATGTGCCGCGTGTGCCGTCCACCTGCACTGTAGCGCCATCGAAAGCGACTGCCTGGCTGTGAGTTCAAGTCCGATTCTGAGTCGGAGTCGCTCCCGTCTCGGGCCCATTTGGCAGGCCGTGTTTTGCAAGGATTTTCCAGAGGCATTTGTTTTGTTTTTGGCGCACGCGCCTGACACCATTTGCCGGCTATGATTCGGTATAACAGTTTCGATGCTCCAACTGCCCAACCCCGCTCCTTCAGTGTGTGGCCGTTGCCAATTTATTGTTTACTCTTTCTCTCTTTTCTCCCTTTCGCTTCCTCTTGGCAAAACGTCATCAGTGCGAGTCGCACAAACAAATCACAAACGTTAAGGCAACATTTCCATGTGCTTGCCATTCTGTTTGTGGCTTGTGTCCGTTCAATTTTATGAGCCACTGTTAATTGTGGTCGGCCATTTGCCTCTTGTTCGGCTAATTGCTGCGGTTTTTACCACGTACAGTGTCCGATTGCTGTTGCCGCCAATAGATTTATGGACGGTAGCTGTAAATATCTAGTCTAAAGTGTAAATTTCTTGGCATGCATTTCCAAAGGGAAGCACTTTGCAGGCAGTGGTCTATTGTTTAGGGATCATTGCACAATTTATGGCAGTGTGCGGCAGTTTATTATACTTGAATAAATAAAGATGAAAGGTAAGGTTCAATGGCATTAGATCTTCAGCTGCTGGAAAACTTTGACCTCAAATTTTACTGATCAACAAATTATTTTGGTGTCTTTTCCACTGATATTTTTCGTATAAAAGTTGATCGGTCTCTCTAGTTATCACTCATTACCGCTGTGATGCAGAAATCAATTAAAAATCCAACTAAATATCAGTTCAAGCTGGAATATCAGTAATTTGTTGTCTCTTTGCTATTGAAATTTGAATTCTCGATCGTTCCTTCGGGAATCGAATGGCGAAATAAATGGCCAAGGGAAATGGCGATCAAGAATAGGAACCGCAGCTGTGGAACCAAAGTGTGGCCAACCGTTCCTGGAAGCAAAACGCAAATGCAAACTGTAATACCAAGCCAAAGAGAGCCACAGAACTTATCGCTCTCTCGCTCTCTCTGGCTCTCGCTCTCTCTGGCTCTGGCTCTCGCTCTCTCTGACTCTCGCTCTCTCTGGCTCTCGCTCTCTCTGGCTTGGCCTGCTTTTGTGTATGGGCAAACTTTGAGCAGGGGAAGGGCGGGCACAAACTGTTTGGCGACGCCATGGAAATGATGACGTAAATTGAAACCAAAAGCTGCTACGGCAACGAAATCTATTTGTGCGAGGGGTGGTCCTGCCCTTCCCCACCCCCCCTGCCTGACAGGTGTGCAGCCATCTCCGAGTGCATATTTGTCGAGCCGCTGAGTGCACTTCGAAGCGAACAGTGGCAGTCCGCAGATACACGAAGAAATATTGAGGCAGATGAGCCTGAAGCTGAAGCATTGACTTGGACGCTGCTCTAATGACATTTGCCGTTTTGTTTGTTTTGCTGGCAAAACGCTTTCCATTTTCATTTGCGCTTAAATGCATTTTTCCCACCTCCTTGCCGTCACAAAATGTTTTGGTTTGAATTTCAGAAGCTTTTAGTTTTGTTTGCCCCTGTGCTGCACGTGTCTCTGTGTGTGTCCTTCCGTGTCCTGTCTGCACTTTGTGCTCAATTCTTGCGTTTTCTATTTCTATTTTTAGACCAGCACTAAAACAAGCACAAAAGACAGGGTGGTCGAGGCGCCGCCTGCACATTCAGAGTCACAGAACGTTGCATAAATTAATCAACAATGACTAAATAAACACACACACATGCTTGTATATCTATAGTTAGAAATAAAAGCTGCCCGAGACCAAGACCTGACCCACTGAGTAGCAGCTGCTGGTCCAGCCATTGACGTCACACAGTGCTCCACTGCATTCGTCCTGAAGCTGATGATGCAGCTGCCGCTGTCGCTGCCGCTGCCGCTGCCTCTCTATAGGTAAGCACCCTCTTGACCTTACCCAAACTGTTTACACTTATCACTGCCACAAGGGCCCCTCGACACAAGAGAGAGAGAGAGCGACACAAGACACAAGATGGCACTTGGGGCCTCAGTTCGCAGTTCGATGGTTGTCAGGGGCCGGCAATAGTTTGTGTAATGATGAGTGAACGGATTGACTAGAACAATCGCTAATGAAACATTAACCCAGTTTCCTTAGCTAATCAGTTATGGAACCCATAAGCAGCTTGACATTGTTTGAGAGAGCCCCAAAACCAGACACTATGGGGACCAAGGATTAATTGTCATCCGACATGTTGTCTGCATTTTGTGGGCTTCATTTCTTGGGGCTTCCCACTGTGTTGGCACTTTGTTGGCTTGCCCCGCCGCTTGCGCTGAGGCTTGACTTGACCACGCGGTTCAGTTGCTGCACGGTCGCCACTTCGCGCGGTAGACCAAACCAGATTAGTGTCCTGTTTCCTTTGCTGCATCCTTGTCAATGGCTGCCGCTGCTGTTGCAACGCCTGGGGCCACTGTGCTGCCGTCAGGACCTGCTGCCGCTGCTGCACCGTTAGTTGTTGCGGGCTCGGCACCTGCCGGCAAGGGTCCTGCCAATCTGTTGGACATTGTCGGCGAGGCCAATGTGGTAAACTACATGAAGAATCGCCTGCGGAAGGGCGCCATGAAGCGCAAGGGTCAGGAGATTGTGAACGGACATCGGTTCGGGGTGCGCTTCTTCAAGCAGCCCACCTACTGTGGACACTGCAAGGACTTCATCTGGTGAGCGATGGAAAGATTTAAGCCCCGATTTAGGTCCTTTTTCTGCTGTACATTTTATCAGCGCTCCTTAATTTAATTAGCCCCTCTGCTGGTTGACACCATTTTTTCGTTGTTTTCGTTTCTGTTTCTGTTTCTGCGCTGCGCTGCGCCTCGCTGCATTCGTGGACGGGACTTTGGATGGGATTAGGGGCTTTGGCAAGCCGGGTTTTCAGTGCGAGGGTGGGTTAAGTTGTTGCTGCGCCCAGAGCAGAGAGCGTTCTTAATTGAGTTGCCTGTCCGTATTCCCGAGCAGAGTGCCGCTTCAACATACACCAAAAGTGCTGCAAGTTTGTGGTGTTCAAGTGCCCCGGCAAGGACACGGATTTCGATGCGGACTGTGCCAAAGTGAAGCACGGCTGGATCTCCACCACCTACACCACGCCCACCTTCTGCGATGAGTGCGGCATGCTGCTGCACGGCGTGGCCCACCAGGGAGTCAAGTGCGAGAGTGAGTGGGCGTCAGCGCTCGTGTGGATCCCTCGCTAATGGCTCTCGTGTCCACTCCTTTAGACTGCAACCTGAATGTGCATCATGGGTGCCAGGAGAAGGTGCCACCCATGTGCGGTGCGGACATCAGCGAGGTGCGTGGCCGGCTGCTGCTCTACGTGGAGCTCAAGGGGAACAACCTCAAAGTGGACAGTGAGTCGCGAGCGCCTGACTTAAGCGTGAAGATAAATCTACTCTAACTCCCCGCAGTCAAGGAGGCGGCCAATCTCATTCCCATGGACACCAATGGCTTCAGCGATCCGTACATTGCGGTCCAAATGCATCCCGATCGTTCGGGAAAGTCCAAAAAGAAGACCAAGACCATCCAGAAGAACCTCAATCCGGTCTTCAATGAAACTTTTACTTTGTAAGTTGTTGCTCTCCGCTCTCCGCTCTCCCGGAAATCTAAGTGAATATTTGTCCTGGGCATGTCTGACAGTGAGCTGCAGCCGCAGGATCGCGAAAAGCGTCTGCTCATCGAGGTGTGGGACTGGGATCGCACCTCGCGCAACGACTTCATGGGCTCCTTCTCGTTCAGCATGGACGAACTGCAGAAGGAGCCCGTCGATGGCTGGTACAAGTTCCTCTGCCAGGTGGAGGGCGAGCACTACAACATTCCCTGTGTGGATGCCATCAATGATATGGCACGTCTCAGCGATGAAGTGAAGGTTCGTTATGGCCCGAAATCCCTAATCCTTTTCTACACACTATCTCTCCACTCCACAGCACGATCGTCGACCCAATGAGAAGCGTCGCATGGACAACAAGGACATGCCCCATAACATGAGCAAGCGCGACATGATCCGCGCTGCCGACTTCAACTTTGTCAAGGTCATTGGCAAGGGCTCCTTCGGCAAAGTGCTGCTGGCCGAGCGACGCGGCACCGACGAGCTGTACGCGGTGAAGGTGCTCCGCAAGGATGTCATCATCCAGACGGACGACATGGAGCTGCCCATGAACGAGAAGCGCATCCTCACCCTGTCCGGTCGTCCGCCCTTCCTGGTCTCCATGCACTCCTGCTTCCAGACCATGGACCGTCTGTTCTTCGTCATGGAGTACTGCAAGGGCGGGGATCTCATGTACCACATGCAGCAGTACGGCAGATTCAAGGAGTCTGTGGCCATGTGAGTTTCGAACCAGAGAGCTGTGAGACTCAAGAAAGTTTGATTGAGTTTTCGTTGCAGTTTCTATGCCGTGGAGATAGCCATTGCCTTTTTCTTTCTGCACGAACGTGACATCATCTATCGTGATCTGAAGCTGGACAACATTCTGCTGGATGCCGAGGGGCACGTGAAGCTGGTGGACTTTGGCCTGAGCAAGGCGGGCGTCACGGAGCGCGAGACAACGCGCACTTTTTGCGGCACGGCCATGTACATGGCACCGGAGGTGCGTGCTCCTCAATGTCCTAATGCCCAATCCCTAATATACTTTTGCAGATTGTCAGCTCTGAGCCGTATTCCATAACCGCCGACTGGTGGGCGTACGGTGTGCTGCTCTTCGAGTTCATGGCCGGCCAGTCGCCGTTCGAGGGAGACGATGAGTCCACCGTCTTTCGAAACATCAAAGAGAAGAAGGCCGTGTTCCCCAAGCACTTTACGCAGGATGCCATGGATATTATAACCAGCGTGAGTATGGGAATTATCTCTGCTTAATGTTTGTGTAACACTTGTCTTGACTTTGCCCCCTTTTGCTTAGTTCCTGGCCAAGAAGCCCAACAATCGCTTGGGCGCTGGCAAATATGCCAGGCAGGAGATAACCACGCATCCTTTCTTCAACTGCATCGATTGGGAGAAGGCCGAGGCGGGTGAAATGGAGCCGCCCATTGTGCCCCGAATTGTAGGTTCTTGCCTTTGAGTGTTGCCATGGCCAGCCATGACTTTTGTTTATTCTTGTAGAAACATCGCAAGGACATTAGCAACTTTGATGAGGCCTTTACCAAGGAGAAAACGGATTTGACACCAACCGACAAGCTCTTCATGATGAATCTGGACCAAAACGATTTCATTGGATTCTCCTACATGAATCCCGAGTTTATAACCATACTCTGAAAGTTGTTCTAAAAAGCTTTTCATGAAAGGAAGCAGGATGTAACGGATAAATGCTGAAAGCTTAGACTCAACTATGGATAGCAGATAGAAATAAAGTTGAAGCTTGAGAGCTTACAGCAAGCTGTGTTGGCTGTGTTGGCTGTCTGCTGTCGTACTTGGAGCTTTCAGCGGGTCACAAAACTGAGCTTTCTGCCTCGCGCGCTCTCTCGCTCTCGCTCCCTCTCTCTCGCTGTTGCTGCTGACAAATGTTAAACGGGACTGCAGCAGAGCTAAGACCCAGATAGTAAACGAAAACAAATTCGGTTCCCGGAAAGAGCGAAAGCTGCATTTGCGCTCTTTTGCTTCGCGGGGAATGATTTCTACATTGAGCGAAATTCACCTCTCGGCACTTGGGTCGTGTGCCCCTCCAAGAGCAGCTCCATTTCGTGAATTTTTAAGGCGGTAATTATAGGGTAGCAAAAACCAAACCACAGCTCGAATGCAGAACTGAACATTGAAGTTTTGGCAGTGGCAAACCCAAAAACTTGTTGCTCCTTTGACATTTGCTGCCTTGAACTTGGGTTTTTCGGTGGCTCTAATGAAATTTGTGTGTTGGCCCTGCCAACCGCAGAGCGTAAAATTGTTTCGAAAATCGTTTTTGGCACCTCAGCTATGGCCACACAGAGTACGGGGCTGTAGGCGGAATGGAGCTCTGCCGTTCCTTTGGCCAAATATTCTCGTCACTGCGACACTGCTGATGGCACACAGCAGGATATTTGCAATATTGATTAAGAGGCCTCATCTAATCAGGACCTGAGTCCGCAGTGAATGCAATTTCCGTCTGGTGGAAGTTTTGCTCGGTCTTTGTAAGTGAATTTCCATCAATCGCAGCTTCCGCTTTCAATGGCTCTTCCTTTCTGCACTGGGTACAGCAGCATCCGCATCCGCATCTGCATCCGCCTTCAACTGTTTGCACTCTATTAGCGGCAATTTGCAGGTTTACGTGCACTTTTCACGGCTTTTAGACACGTTCCAATGTCTCCGGCCATGTCCTCGGGTCTGCAGACATTCGCTTGCACTGTCCTTGTGGTCGTCCTTTGCTTCTCATTCACTTCCACCATCCACCTTCTCCTCCTGCCGCTGCTGCTGCTGCTGTCATCGACATCCTTCTATGCCTTCCAACATGTGCCTTTGGTGTGTGGCTAAGGCTGGTTGCTGGTGGCGGTGTTTGGCCTTGTCCGGGGTTCGGCAAAGGACAACGGCACAGCACAGCGCATAAGGATGTACTAAAGTGCTTCACACAATATAAATAATGGTCAAGCGGGAGCTGGGTTGCCATATATTGAGAGTGTAATAAAATGGAGCAGGCAGCAGCTTAAAGGAATCCTTTGGCTTGGCATAGTTTTCCTTGGCCTTGATGCCATCCGCCGGCTAGGTATGTACTTTCCTTGCAAAAATGTCGTCGAGTGGCTAAATTGTCAGCTTATAAATCAATTGGACTAGATCGGAAAAGAATTTCAAACGTTCGTTCAGTCCCTAAAGTTGGAAATGGATTGGAATGCGGTTATTTAAATATTTAAAGACATTTTCCTGTTGCTCAAATTCATCAGAAGTACATTGAAAATGTATGTGTACATTCCATGTGCTGATAACGATAAAAATTGCTACGCTTTGCTGAGTGTTTTTACTTGGTACTCCCCCTAATACCTGCGCGGGCACCCCCTCTGTCTCTCTCATTGCTTTGCTATCTGTCTTTTTCATACACTGTCACTTCCGTTTCCGCCTGAGCACCCGGACTGAATGCGGACTGCCTTGCGGGCTCCATTTGCCCTCAGCCACTTTTTTGTGCTGCCACTAACTGCTCTGGCACTTGGATGCCACTCCACTCCACTCGCATTCTGTGGCACTCACTGGGAGTGACATGCATATGGTCTGGTCCCCCATAAAAACCACAAAAGCCCCAAAATATTGTCCCAAATTAGCTGCGTGATGCTGTCCGGACTGTCCTGGTCTGCGTGATGGCGTTGCCGATGTCCGGCATAGGGATCCAATTCGCCTTTGCCTAATTTCATTGTTGAGAGCGGCCCCCAGTTGTGGTTGGGATGGAAAGCCAGGGATTTATCAGCTAAGTGAGTCTCATGGCCGGCCTAAATATTTAAACCGACTCCCAGGTGGGATTATGCCGCACTCCTGTTGCATTCCTCATCCTCTGCGGAGTGGGACAACCTCTGCTCATCTACAATGCAAACATTGCCCGTGGAATTGTTCGGGCTGCACGTGGCGCCAGTTTTCAGCACTTAAACAAACAAACTGTTGCCCCAGCGTTAGGGTCTGCATGTCCTTGTTTGCCTTTATACTTGTCCCTCGCTTTGTGTAGCTTTTTCACAGCTGTTTGCCATTTGGCAGTCGCCCAGATGCAAAGTGCAGGCAACAATTCCAGGGCGGGGCATGGTGCGACATCAAATGAAGAACTACTCGCAGCGATTCTCAGCTTTCTCTCTCAGTTCCTGAATTGCAAAGACAAACTATGAGGAGCATATTCCACAGCTGGCATTCCGTTTCCATTTCCACCCATAATCAAATAAATTACAACAGCAGTGAAGCGCCCCTGAAAGTGTAGCCCATAAGTCCAGCATGCCATTTGAGCAGTGAAATGTCGCACACATTTTTTGCATAATACCGGGGACTCGCAGCACCCCAAAAACCATAAAAATGTACACAAATAAAAACAAATTTCAAATGGTTGGACAATAAAAGAACATAGAGCGTAGTGTGCTCTAGCGAGGCGTGAAACTTTTACAGCCCTGCCCACAAGAGAGAGAAGTGATCAGTTTTTATGGCAAAGGCACTTACGCGCGGAGGGAATGTTTGGTGTTTGTGGCAATACGGAGAAAGGAGTGACCCCCGGAGTGTCGTATATGATCGAATGGAGTGGGGTAGAAGCGATCGGAGATTAAAGATTAAAGTTCCTCTAGAAAAGTTTCGTGGCCAAACCCAATTTTTAACAGCAGCAATTACCAAATCAATGCAGGGATGCTAACGAATTTTAAACAGTCCGGAAAGGATACTTTCAATATTGAAAACATATTAAAGACTTGGTGCAACATTGAGCAACGTTTGTTTCTCGTATTCGAGCGTATTCGCACGGCTGCTGACACACGCCATCAATCCAGACACACAGGCGACTAATAAACACAAACAAGACACACACACACACAAACATGGATATGTGTGCGTAGGTATGCGCTGCTCTCTGCTGTATATTCGAACGTTGAGCGACGTTTGCATATGGGAAAACACACAGGGAAAAAAGCTGGTTTTATAGACCAAACGGGATGGTTAAGTGCGGCCAGGGGCGTATGGCAAAAGGGAAGTGCTTTTGTGCAAGTTTTGTGGCAGCAGCTTGAGGGTGAAATTTCTTTTGAAAAGGGAATTCCGAATGAAAACTGGGATTGTCCAACTTTAACTTTTCAACTATTTTTTTGTTGCCCCTTTTAAAACCGACTCTGTGGCCACGCCGCAAAACTTTCACACAGACACAGAGAGTGGAACGCAAACATTTGGCATGCATGTTGGGCTTGCCCTGCTCTGGTACAGTGGAGTTTTGGGTTGGCTATTCCCCATGCAAACAGCAGCATGAAATAATTATACAGAACTCCGTTCCACTAAATGGACGATACGCTGCCACAGGTCCCGGCACAGGTGGGTGGAGATCCATTCGAGTCGGAGTCCCAGGCGTTCGAATGTTAAGCTGAATCCGCACACTTTCGCCATACTACGTGGCTAGAGGATAAACCGTATACACATATGCACATATTTAATGTCTATAGTTGCCACACACACACGCTTCAAGGATTTTTCTCGATTTTCTCGGCTCTCACCTTCTGTCGTATCCCTGTCCACAGAGCAGCCACGCGCTGGTTATTCAGTGAGCGATATGGCCAAAGTATAGTCCTCGTTGCGAGCTCTCGTGCTCTAATTAATAAATGATGCCGGCGAAGAGTGTGAAAGCGAGAGAGGGAGAGTGGCTGTCGCGGGGTTGGAGCGACACACACGCAGCTAAGGAATTTATGGCGCAGCCCGCTGCATCAAGCTATAAGCTACAATAAAAATAAAAATGTTTCATACACCGAGACATTTGATACTCTTTTGATTAATGGTTTACAATGTAAAGTTTACATGTTCTGATGAGAGCTGTATGGAAGTGTCAACCCAACCTCTTTCATGCGTATGCTCTTTGGTGTAGTGTACAAAATAGATAAAAACGTTGCGCATCACAAAGGCTATTGTGCAATAAAATAGACAAAGTAAGTCGCTTAAGTCGGTCGCTTGCCTGCCCGCTCGCACCCTCTTTCACATGCATTGCACAGTTCTCGCTTCTTCCTGCTTCCAGCTTTTCGCTCTCCCAGTGCACACCTCTCGCTTCCTTTTTGCACTCTCGGTCGTTGCGTTCGTTACGCTTCAGTGCAGCTTAAAAGCGCAGCCCCTGGATGCACTGTGTGTGTGAGAGCGAGCGGGAGAGAGTGTGTTCTGCTCATCTTATTGTATCCCACCTAACGGTAAAAGTGTGCGCTGCTTTGCAGCTGCCGTTGTCTCTGTCGCTGCCCATTCGCTGCCGCTGCCGGCTCTTTCAATGTTCTTCTCTGTTTCAGCTTGCATCAAAGCAAAGTTTTGGTCCGCTTCGCTCTTCTCTTCCCATCACTGCTTTGCTTTTATTCCATTTTTATTGCTCACGTGTCGGCATGCCCGTGGGGTGGCTTAGGCTACGCCAAAGCGTCACGAATGCGACACACCAATACCAGTTTTAGGGTATCAACGTGCAGACTCCAGCACCCAACTATCAGTCGAACAACACACGAGTACGAACCACTTTAATTTGTTAGCCACTGCAGCAGCAGCAGCAGCAGCAGCATCGACGCGAGTATAACCAAAGCTTAATCAAGCGCAAAAACCAGGATCTTCTTGGTGGGCAACAAAACCTACACATCAAACAAACAAAAAACAGGAAAGCAAAATGCTGAAATTAAATAAAAATTTCTTGGAAATGCTGATACCCGTTACGTGAGCATTTACACTCGAAAATGTTTTAATGAAAATGCACATAAATTCCAAAAAAAGCACAGCAGGGGGCAGAGCCATGC